CGGGTGTTGATTGTGGATGCAAGTAAAATTAAATCCTTGACAACTTCAACCTTTTTTGTTTTTATCATGAAGTTGCTTAATGGTCTAGTTGTGAAGAGTTTTGTTTTCTTTATGTTGAGGTGTAATCTCAAGGCTGTAGTGAAGGCTGTAGTCTTTGATCTTCATCAGTAAGTACTTCAAGTCCTCTTCACTTTTAGCGAGCAAAGTTGTGTCATTTGCATATTGAAGGTTGTTAATAAGTCTTCCTCCAATCCTGATGCCCTGTTCTTCTTCATATAGGCCAGCTTCTTGGATTATTTGCTCAGCAAACAGATAGAATAAGTATGTTGAAAGGATACAACCCTGACACACAACTTTTCTGATTTTAAACCCCTTGCTCTGGTTGAACAACTGCCTCTTGATCTATGTACAGTTTCTGCATGGGCATAATTAAGTGTTCTGGAATTCCCATTCTTTGCAACGTTATCCATCATTTGTTATGATCCACTCAGCTGAATGCCTTTGCCTAGCCAATAAAACACAGGTAAAACAATTTTCTGGCATTCTCTGCTTTCAGCCAGGATCCATCTGACATCAGCAATGATATCCCTTATTCCACTTCCTCTTCTGAATCTGGCTTGAATTTCTGTCAGTCCCCTGTAGATATACTGCTGCAACAGCTTTTGAATGATCTTCAGAAAAATTTTACAGACTAGGAAACACCATGGGGCAGTTCTACTCTGTCCTATAAGGTCGCTGTGAGTCGGAATCCATTTGACCTGCACACAACAGCAACATAATGGACAAATTGTTTCAATCTCATCTCCTACAACTCTCACCCTTACTCATTCTGGTCCAGTCACTCCTACTTCCTTATTCTTCTTCAAACAAGACCAGCATGATCTGATGGCTCTCATCTCAGGGTTCTTGTACCTGCTGTAGTCTTTGCCTGGAATGTTCATTCCTCAGATATCTCCAACTCTTGGTCACTTACTTACCACAGACCTAGGCTCACTGTTACTAGTGATGCCTTCCTTGACCACCTCCTTAACACTTATCACCCTTTGACACATGTTTACATGTTTATTTTCTGTCTTCCCCATTAGAATGTTCACTTCACAAAGGCAAGAACTTTGGGCCTGATAGGTGCCTGTTCAATAAGCTGTGAAAGTGCCAGAAATGCCAAATATGGGGGGAAAAAACACCTAACATAGTAATTAACATATGAGTACAATATTTTCAATAATTACTTTGGTAATATACATCACCAGTGTTCTTTCTGAACAAACTGTTGTTTCCAATCAACACTTACCCTCACCTTTTAGCTATTTTATTCCGCCACTGCCAATTTTTCCCTTTTAAAACCAAATTCTTCCCCACAAAGCCAGATTTAATCTCAGACTCACCCAAATAAAAAAGAATCTTTCTATAATACAGAATTCAAGCCTATTTTCTCTGACCATTGCTCAGACTTCTATCAAGAACCTTCTTTACATATTCAAATTTAGTTTGTTTCCTCTGCAAGCTTTTCTTGACATTCCAGTTTGCTTTCATTTTCCATTAGCTTCAAACCTAGCAAGTAAGGGCTTCAGCTTTGGTTTGGGAACTTCCTAGAGTTTTCTCCACAACCTATTTCCCTCTTTCTAAGTCCCTCCTCCCACTTTATTTCATTTTAAGAAACTAGGTGTACAGAAAAATTGTGCAGGAAGTACAGAGAGTTCCTTTTACCCCCTCGCCCTGCACACTGTTTCTCCTATTAATATCTTGCATTCCTGCTTTCACTTTATTTACTTATTTAAATTCTGGAGACCATAAACCTGTCTACTCCTTCACACTTTCACTACTTTTTGTCTTTTCAAATTCTTTATGCAAAATTTAGACCTTCAGATCCCTTTGTCTACTCTAGTCAAAGCAATTTCACACAGAATATAGAGCCAGAAGTTACCTTAGCCTAGTTACCTCAACAACACTAGCCCCTAGAGTGCATTTGAGAAATCTGTAGGGGCATTTCAGTTGCCACAATCATCTGGGGTTAGGGAGACATGCCAGTATGTAATTCGCATGCTAGATATCCTGCAACATAACAAGCCTACACAAAAAAATATTGTCCCTTATTTTATCATACTTTTGAAGTCCCACAAGGCATTCAAGTAGGTGAAAAACCTGCTTCTGATTATCTAAGTCCTAGACCTTCAACTCCATTTTATAGGACAAACCTTTTTTTTTGTTTTTGCAGTTTTAATGAGTTAAATTTTCTAAGAATTCTTCTGTGTGCAAAACAAGGAAGGTTATACTTTGATATATTCAGAATTTTACCAAGAAGGTTTCCACCATTTTGGAAAAATCATGCTGCCAACAGCAAGTTTTTATGATGCTTGAAACACCCGTATAACACACCTATTGCAGTGGTAGCTTTTACAATCACAGGTCTGTGCACAGGGGCAAGTCAATGACTACTTCTTTGTATTTTCTCCTGTATACATACTTTTACCTTTATATTGTGAAATATGTATTATTTTGCTATTCTTAAGTGTGTTTCTCCTTTACATTACAACTGGATTTTTTTAAGTTATCTGTGTAAATGGGTTATGTTATCCACGTTTTTCATTACAGAAGTGTTTTAAAAAGATCTATTCAGGACATATGGAGCCCTGGTGGTGCAGTGGTTAAGAGATTCGCTGCTAACCAAAAAGGTCAGCAATGCAAATCCACCAGCCACTCCTTGAAAACCCTATGGGGCAGTTGTACTCTGTCCTATAGGGTCACTATGAGTCAGAATCAACTCGAGGGCAATGGGTTATTCAGGACATATAAAGGGGAAGGATGTTGATTAAATTGAGACCCACTAACACAGCTCAATGAATAATGAGGAAATTGAGGCCAAGATAACAAAGGTGACTTGGGCAGGATATTGTCACATTCTTTAGCATAACAGGTAGATCACTCCAAGATTTCCCCTTTGCTTTCCAAGCTACTGTTGCCAGCCACTTTGACCATGCCACACACAACCTCTTTACCACTTCAAAGGATTCTAAGTTTTAAACTATTTTTCTATAAACCTTCATCTAAAGTACAATAAAAAAAATTTAAAAAAAAGGATTCTAAGCTTTTCTGGAATCTAAGTGATTTTATAAGGACCAAAAAAATAGTTTGTCATGTAGAATGGAATTCCAGTCTAGGGCTTAATCATACGTAGGTTTTTCATCTTCTTGACTGGTGAGCCCACAAGGACAAATGGTACAGGTAATAATAAATAAAATGGGTACTGTTCTTAAGAATTTAAATGGCAGTCTCACATATGTGATCTCGTTTGATGCTCCTAAGAGTCCCGTGTTGTTGTTAGGTGTGGTTGAGTCAGTTCAACCTCATAGCAACCCCACGTACAATAGAACAAAACACTACCTGGTCCTGCGACATCTGCATAATTGTTGCTATGTTTGAGCCCATTGTTGCAGCCACTGTGTCAATCCACCTCATTGAGGGTCTTCCTCTTTTTCACTGACCCTCTACTTTACCAAGCATGATGTCCCTCTCCAGGAACTTGTCCTCCTGATAACATGTCTAAAGTACATGAGACAAAGTCTTGCCATCCTCACTGCCAAGGAGCATTCTGGCTGTATTTCTTCCAAGACAGATTTGTTCATTCTTTTGGTAGTCCACAGTATATTCAATATTCTCCATCAACACCATAATTCAAAGGCATCAATTCTTCTTTGGTCTTCGTTCATCGTCCAGCTTTTGCATACACTGAGGCGAATGAAAATATTATGGCTTGGGTCAGGTGCACCTTAGTCCTCAAAGCGACATCTTTGCTTTCTAACACTCTAAAGAGGTCTTTTGCAGCAGATTTGCACAATGCAATACATCGTTTGGTTTCTTGACTGCTGCTTCCATGGACGTTGATTGTGGATCTAAGCAAAATGAAATCCTTGACAACTTCAATCTTTTCTCCGTTTATCACGAAGTTGCTTAATAGTCCTGTTGTGAGGATTTTTATTTTCTTTATGTTGAGGTGTAATCCGTACTGAAGGCTGTGGTCTTTGATATTGATCAGTGTTTCAAGTCCTCTTGACTTTCAGCAAGCAAGGCTGTGTCATCCGCCTAACTCAGGTTGTTAATGAGTCTTCCTCCAGTCCTGATAGTGTTCTTCTTCATACAGTCCAGCTTCTTAGATTATTTGCTCAGCATACAGATTGAATAAGTATGGTGAACGGATACAATCCTGATGTACACCTTTCCTGATTTTAAACCACGAAGCATTCCCTTGCTCTGTTCGAACAACTGCCTCCTGGTCTACGGACAGGTTCCACATGAGCACAATTAAATGTTCTGGAATTCTCATTCTTCACCATGTCATCCATAATTTGCTCTGAGCCACACAGTCGAATGCCTTTTGCATAGTCAATAAAACACAGGTAAACATCTTTTTGGTATTCTCTGCTTTCAGCCAATATGCATCTGACATCAGCAATGACATCCATTGGTCCGTGTCCTCTTCTAAATTCGGCTTTAATTTCTGTCAGTTTCCTGTCGATAACCAAATGTATAACCGTTCTTCTTATCAGCGTAGTGGATTGTACTAAAAACAAACAAAAAAACACTTTGCTTGTTATATTACTGAGCCACCGTCATCTTTCTTTCATGAGCTGTCATAGATCCCACAGATTAAGCCACCAAAGTTCTCAACCAAATAAAACCTTAAAACTTTTTTTAAGGGTTACTTCAGCCTCCTTATATATTGATGAGAATACCGAGGTCCAAGAAAAGTTAAGTGACTTGCCTATGGTTCCGAGAAATCACAATATTTCGAAGCAGGGTGTAAAAATATATGACATTGCCTATTCTATTTCACTAGCTTTTCTCACCGCAAATTTTAATTGAAAAATCTAAGGTTACCCAGTCAAAACCGGAAGCGAACTATAGCGGCAAGCTCCGCCCCCCGGGGCTGTTTATGGCAGTGCCTGACAGGCGGTCCGTGCAGGGGGCCTCAAGGGGTCCTTCGCACGGGCTTCCGCCGCACTGCCTGAACGAGTCTGCAGGCAGCTTCCGGTGTGGGTGACGAACGGTGGCTGAAACAGGGGGACCTTAAGGGACACTCAGGCAGAAACCATGGCAGACGGCGGCTCAGAGCGGGCTGATGGGCGCATCGTCAAGATGGAGGTGGACTACAGCGCCACCGTGGATCAGCGCCTGCCGGAGTGCGAGAAGCTGGCCAAGGTGAGGGGAGGCGGGCTGCCTGTTGGCGGGCCCCAGGGGCTGAGTCACGGCGCGGAGCCCGCTTAGGCCTCAGGGGGTCTGCGGGCTATAGCACGCATTCGCCTATCGCCTGCCCAGCCCTGGTTAAGCCAGCGTGAGTAGGAGATCCCCAGGTCTGCCCGGCCGGGGAGACTTTGCAGCCGGAGTGCGCTAGTGCATGTTGTTAGGTGCCGTCGAGTTGGTTCCGACCTTAGTACATACCGCTCCCCAAATCCTCCCCAGGACAGATGGTCACTTCCCGTAGAAGTTAGGGCTCCATAGCAGTTGTTGCCTTTTCTTGAATGCTATTTAACGTTTACGTTAGTATTTCCTCAAGGGTTAAGGCATTCAGACAAAATGAGAGTTCTGTTGCTCTTGCCGAATCAGTTTATGGTGATAAATTGTTTATGGCTCATGGCACTGTGCCTGGCCCTTGGCTGGTAGAAGGGGCAGGAGAGTGACAGTACAAAGATGAGTAACATAGGGCCCCTGCCCTCAAGGAGTTCGTGTACACAGCGAACTAGTCAAGTCTTGCGTGGTGGTGAGTGCCATGCTTATATAAATAGTTATTGGAACACAGAGAAGGAAGCTGTTCATTCATCTGGTGGGGTAAAGGGAAGGTTTTACAGAGAGTTTAGGGTTGTATTGGGCCTTGAAAATTGAGTAAGATTGGGGTGGAAGGAGTCATTCCTGGCAGAGGGAACTACAGAAATAAAGACAAACAGGCACTAAAGTCCACAATAACCTAATCAGGGGAGGTAATGAACAATAATTCATTTATATTAACTGCTTAGGGAATAGAAACTTAACTTGACCCAAATATCACACCCCCTGCCTGTCAGGCAACTTTGTGTATCATTTTACATGTAAAGAAACCAAGGCTTAGAGTTATTTACCTAAGGTTACAGTTAGTAATAGGTAGAACCAGGGATTCAAAACGAGGTTTTCCTAACTAGGGCGTGGGTGGTTATTGAGTTAGCTCCATCATGGGCTGTTGCTAAGGATTATGCTCAGGCCTCATTAAATTTCTCGATCAATTCTGTGTCAAACACTGCCATTCACCTGGGATGCATTCACTGATAGGTTGTTCTTTTCCCTTAAGGAGCTTGCTACGTATTAAGGAAAGAGTCATGTAAATAAGTGAGTACATTGCAGTGTGATAAATTCAGGGGCAGGAGAAGTTTCAGGTAATGCTTCACATTCAGATTTTAGAAGGAATTCCACAAAGGAATTTAATGGGGCTTTGTAAAAAAAAAAAAAAAAAAAGGAGCCCTGGTGGCACAATGGTTAAAGTGATCGACTGCTAACCGAAAGGTCAGCAGTTCAAAACCACCAGCAGCTCTGTGGGAGAAACCTATGGGGTCGCTATCGGTCAGAATCAACTCGATGGCATTGGGTTTGGTTTGGATTTATAAAAAACAAGGATAGATTATGAAGTTGATACTACATTTCTTGTGTCTAGTACACTTGATGGTGGAGAGCCATAAATTCAGTTCTGAGCTTTCTAGCATCTAGTGTAGGTAGTTCTTAAAAGAGCATAATGCTTGTCTGTCAGTTTGTCGTACCGTGGTGGCTTGCGTTTTGCTCTGATGCTGGAAGTTATGCCACTGGCATTTCAAATACCAGCAGGGTCACCCAGGGTAGACAGGATTCAGTGGAGCTTCCAGACTAAGACAGACTAGGAAAAGAAGGACCTGGCAGTCTACTTCTGAAAAAATTGGCCAGTGAAAACCTTCTGAATAGCAGTGGAACATTGTCTGATGTAGAGGATCAGCCAAAAAGAGGAAGACACTGAATGAGACGAATTGACGTAGTAGCTACAACAATGGACTCAAGCATAACGATTGTGAGGATGGTGCAGTAGTGGGCAGTGTTTTGTTCTGTCGTACTTAGGGTCATTATAAGTTGGACCGACTCGACAGCACCCAGCAACAACAGTGTGAAGAAATAATTATCAGTTACATAAGGGGTGGAAAACTCAGATGCCTACAGTGCCAGGCAGATAACAATAGCTGGTATTTATTGGGTAACTTTCTACAGTGCCAGGCACTCTAAGCATTTTAAATGCATTATCTCATTTGATCCTCACATCAGCCCTTTGTAGTAGGTATTATTCTCATTTTGCAGACAAGGAAACTGAAGCTAAGAGAAGTTGAGTCCCATGCCCTCAGGTCATACAGCTAGTAAAGTGGTGGAGCCAGGATGCATACCCAGGTAGACTGATTCTAGAGCTGGTATTTTCACCACTATGCCATCCTGCCTGGTGACCCAAGTCTAACAAAAGCCTGAACTCTGAGCATCTGCCCAGGGAAAGGGGGCAGCAACTCTCCTCATCTCTAGTTAATTTGTGCCTATTGAGGATGAAGGCCCAGTCTTGTCAACTCTTCCAATTTGAGGGTAAAAGCAAATGTCTTAGTTATCTCGTGTTGCTGTAACTGAAATACCACAAGTGGGTGGCTTTAACAAACAAATTTATTCTCTCACAGTCTAGGAGGCTAGAAGTCCAAATTCAGGGTGCCACCTCCAGGGGAAACCTTTCTCTCTCTCTGCTCTGAAGGGAGTTCCTTGTCACCAGTCTTCCCCTGGGTCTAGGAGCTTCTCAGTGCCAGGACTCCGAGTTTAAAGAACTAGCGCTTCTGGCTGTTCTTGCTTGGTGGTGATGAGGTCCTTCTCTCTGCTCGCTTCTCCCTTTTATATCTCTAAAGAAATTGACTCAAGATAAACCTAATCCTGTAGATTTGAGTCCTGTGTCATTAACATTACTGTCTCTAATTCTGCCTCATTAACATCATAGAGGTTATGTTTTACAACACAAAAGATAATCACATCAGATCACAAAACGGTGGACAACCACACAGTACTTGGAATCATGGCCTAGCAAAGTTGACACATACTTCTGGGGGACACAGTTCAATCCATAACACCAGGAATATGGATTTTTATATGAAATACCTCAATATTTAGAAACTGGGCACTAGTCTGTTTTAAAACACTGCTTGTGCCAGGACAAAGTAGATCAAACAAAACATACCTACAGGCCAAAATCAGCCGCTGAACCACCACTTTGGAATTAATAGAATGATAGTATCCGTAAGGAAGAAACAAATAATTTGCTTTGGGGAAGTACCACTATTGCTAGAACTGAGATCTGAGAGAAAAAAATTTTCCGTTTACCAGTTTCATCTGATAGCCTGCTGTTTGCAAGATCTAGTCTGTGGTAAGCACTGTGGGACGTGTAAAGATGAGACAAAACTTTTGCTCTCAAATAGCTAACAGGCTAGTAGGAAAAAATATTTCACTGTTGCTGTTGGTCTAGGGATCATAATATATGGCATTTATTTAGGCCATTGTTGGTACCAACACAGTTGAAAAGACATGCAAACTCAGTTGTCAAATGACTTTTTAGAGGTCAGATGGGTAATGGAAGTGTTTAAAAATGTGGGAATGTTGGAGCCTCTTAAACTAGGTAAAATTAAAGGCATTTGGATTCTGATTTTTTTTTTTTTTTT